AACAACAGCAACAACAACAACAGCAACAACAACAACAAATTGTTAAAGTGAAAAATGAGGAAAATGATGCAATCCCGTTGAATAATGAGGTGTGTATTCATTCTCCTTTATTAGCCATAGACATATTAGCGAGTGACTATTTTCGAGATTGATTAAGACTCATAATATGTAAAGTAAGTAAAATGGTGGTACAAAAAATGTTGAGGCATTAAAATAGAAAGAAATATAAAGCATTAGAATTTAAATAACTCATTTCTCCATTTATCACCATGCACAATGAATTTATAGGATTAAATTTAAATTCATATAAAATTCGCTCAGATTTGTGGAAACAATAACGGAGGTCTATCATTGGTATGTCAACAATGTGATATGACATTGCATAGTTTTGCTGAATTTGGTTATCATATGCGGACACATTTAATTAGCAAAGATTGTGAACAAAAATGCAATCTTTGCAGTGCAACGTTCACCGATCCCATTGTAATTCAATTTTTTTTTCTTTCAAAATGATAAATAAATGTTGAATTTAATACTAAGAAAATATTCCTAAACAATTCCATTTTCTTTTTTTTTTGCTTCAATTTCTGACATTGCGAAAGGATTTTGCAAAATTTCTAACATCTATTTAACAATTTGAAAATATTAGCAATTTGGTTACTTTCATTTAATTAATAATTTCTTTTAGGCTCGAATATCACATATTGTGGAACATTTTATGGAAAATAGTATTAGTGTACGATGCAAAGAATGTCCGACTATACCATTTTATAATTTTCAACAAATTCGACAACATCACTGTGATGCGCACTTGGAGATATTGTACCGTTGCGCTATATGTCATCAAATATTCAGCAATCAGAACCGTTTTAAGGTGCCATCAAATGTCGTTAGCATCAATTCCAGGAGATTTAAGAAGAAAATGCAAACGAATAAACAATTAGTAATGATAATCGCGAATATTAGATATTCTAGCAGTAAATTTCATTATTCAATGATCATTTCCTTCCAGGAACATTCCATAGTTCACATTGAGGAAGTTTTCCGATATCATTGCGCAGCTTGTAGCATTCCGTTTGAAACCCGCGACCTTTTGGCTATTCATGTACAGCTAATTCATGATCGACCTGCTGTTACGTTAACGGTTAACAGTTTACAGCACGACTCAACGGATGATAGTCTCTGCAAGCAACAGGTTATCTCTCAGGTCATTATTCCTTTCTCATACAATCTATTAATTTCCAACCAATATAATGACGTGAATTTTTAATTTTAAATCTTGAATATTCACTACCAAAGATCAATTCGTCAAAAATTTTTGATACTGTTATCAGAAAGTTTTTTTGGAAAAACTTTAACAATTGACATTTTAATTTTAAGAAATTATATTTTCAACATTTCAATTTCAGTTGCTAGACAGATGTTCACATTAACAAACCATAAAATTTCAATCTCTGCTGAATTACATGATAATATTAAATCATTAGCTGCCGAGATACAAAATCAACTAAATTAGTTAATAAGTCTGGATCTTTCAATTACAGTCCGAAAGTCGTCTGGTGAAATGTTTAGTGTGTGACATAAAATTTGAAAGTGAAGATGAGTTGGACTTTCATCGACTCGTTGCACACTGCAAGGTATGTTAATTCAATTTTAACATTTAATTTATTAATTCGTATTATGCCTACCTATATGATCCTTGTTTATCATTTTCATCTGAAAAATCATATGAATTTTGTAGGTCGTGGCAAAAATACAGTTAATCACTTCTAAGTTTTTCAATTTCAATATTTAGTTTACTAATTCAAAAGTGATTTCCTTCCATTTCCAAAAATTTACTAATTTTTATATAGTTAAAACTACTTATTACTTATACATCATTATTATATGTCACTTTGGAAGGAATAAAAAAAAATTATTTTTAAATGAGTAAATGGTAGTTTTTTCAAACTTTTGATATTATTTTTGATCATAAAATTTCGACCTTTCATACCCTTAATTCGTTGAAATTTCCTAGAACAGAAAATTTTTTCCTCAGATACCCCGATCAAATCGTTGCGCAGACTGTCAGACACAAATTCAAACCGTTACTCATTTCAAGGATCATATTCGTGAACATATGCAAGATGAAAGTACCGTACCCTGTATCATCTGCCGGCAAACACTTCGAAATGACACACAGATCGATACCCATGCAAAGTATCATTTGCAATTTAATGATGATATCTCGGGATCGGATCGGCAATGTAACATATGCCAACAGGTTCATTAATACAACGAATTTACAAAATTTTCATTCAACTTATCGGAAGGAATCTTGTTCTCTGCAAAATTATTCAATAATTTCAACAAAGTGATGCCATATTTGAGTATTTCCATACCGTTGGTTTGTTACTTTCGGATATCACAGAGATATGCTAATTTGCAGAACTAACTGATCCATCCTGCTGATGTAGACATTCTTGATATTTGAGAAGATTGTTGCAGCATTTCTCGAGCGAATCACTCGGACTACATGTGATTGAACATTCGAGCAACGGAAACTGTCCATATTGTGACAAACATCTCCCAAATGTTGCCAGCTTATTGGCTCATATCGATTCGATACATTCGCGTGTGGAAGCAATCTACCAATGTCATAACTGTCAACAGACCTTTCACTTCAAATCTCAATTACAGTATCACATCTGTTCAACTGTTGCACATGAAACACTTCTGAAGTTGGTTTCACATTCAATTTACAATACTGAATGAGTTTGAGGTAATTGTAGAAAGATGATCCACATTAATGATTCATATTGTAATTATTATTCAGTTCATTTCGAGAGCGCATTTCATCAATTTTAAATCAACAACAAGCTTATCAATGTCCATGCTGTCCTAAGGTTAATTGTAATTTTTTTTGCAATTTCATTAACTTTCAATTCATTTCTTGTTAACTAACCTTATTCAAAATTTAACTCGCAATTTAGCAAAAAATAAATTTGATAAGACATTTATAATTCTTTTATTCCCAAGCGATATTTCGAAAATTTAACGCAAAAGACGTTTTTGGGCAAATGAGCCCTCATTTATAGGAGAAATACATTGTCTTGCATGTTGTCCCTGAAAAAACAAAACTAAACTGGTGAAAAATTGAAATGTTGTCATTTGAAATTTTTATAATTTCTTGTTAAGATATTCGGTTCGGAAAGCGCTCTCCAGGGTCACTCACATATTCATTCACCAAAAGCATTCCGCTGTGACCTTTGTGTGCTATCTTTTTCATCCAGTCAACGCCTTGAAACCCATCGTAAGAAGCATTTCGCGGAGAAAAATTTTACGTGTAAAATTTGTGATTTGCAATTCGTGAAGTAAGTGTGTAAATTATTTCTATTATCGTTTCTTATCACTCATTACCAGCATTGATGTCTATTGTCGGTAGCAATAGAATAGCTGGGATACGAGAAGTGTATTCCTCGGGATTTGGGACGGAAATGTAGGGAAATGATAAGAAGATTTAAAGATTTACAAACTAAAAAAGTCTTTCTTTCAATCATATTTTTAAATGGAAAAATAGAACGAACTGAATGGAAACTAATGATAATTCATTCTTTTCACACGTATTAAACTTACGGAGAATGATATTTTTAAAATCTCTTCAATCTATCATGAAAAATTTCATGAAATTTCAGCCGTGACGATTTATCATTACATCTAAAAATGCACGGTGGTGCTTTTACACGATGTACAACGACTGAGCAAACTATAACGACGCGCTTTAACTGATGTTTATGAGCAATTTTTTCCTTTTTTTATTGCCGCATACTGTTAATGGTTAATGGGAATAAATTCTCAGATCAAATTTTAACAAACAACGTCAACAATAAGTGTGTTTTATCTTCACTCAGTGAGAAAGACGAAACGCATCTTTTATTATTTGCTTATTTTTTCTGCTTTTCTTTGTTTAATGAACAAACAAAATTGTCATTTTTGTCACTAAGACAAAGCCGTTCACATGTTCCTTCAGATTTTAGGAATAAGATGAACTTGAAGAAGATGAGAGAAGAAAGGTAAAGAAAGGTCATGACAGAGCTATGCCCACTTCGCAGAATTTAATAGTTATTTATTGGAAGCCTCGCTTTGACTTAGAATAGATTACTTTCATAAATTACTTTCCATCAGAAATTACAGTTAGCCCATCTAATAGAATTTGATCTTACATAAAGAAGCTTAAAAGACAATGAATAATGTCAAGAGATGCCTCATATATTCTGACAATTCAGTTCAATATTTTCACTTACTTTTTCAGACAAAAATCTCAAGATGATTATTTCAATCATTGTTTTGTCATGCACTTCATTTTACGACACTTACTTAAAAGTCTAGGATTAGATAGAGACAACTGACTTTGTCAGGGATGATTTTTCCTCTCTCCTCTCCTCATTCTCATCTCATCCCATCTTATTACATCACCATTGTTGACGATTTTGACAGCGATGAGTCATCGACATAGGTGTATGCGTGTGTGCGTCATCGACATAAGTGTGTGCTGTATGAGTCATCGATATAGGTATGTGTGTGTGTATGTGTCCATGATTCATTGCTATAACCCCTCTTTATGCTACTGTCTGTATATGTTTGTTCCGAACACTGTTAGCTCTGTCAATAAGATGGTGACAATGCCGTCTCGGTAAATAAATCCTCCACTGCTTTTTTTCATATCATTAATGTTTTAGATGATTCGTAGTTTAAACTAGTTTTGTTTTTGAGAATTCAAGCTTTCAGCTGTATATGCTGTTCAGAATTCTTCGTTACTCAGTAGTAACCTTTGGTTGATAAGGAAGTGCAAAATTTTCAGATTCTTTGGCGATTCAAAAATTAGAAATTAAAATATAACTGGTAGTGAATTTGTTTACTCACAAATTTCAGCAAATTTAGTACTACAGTTAAACTCGTGGTGCTGCAAATTCTTTGAGAGAAATAACTTAGCTTCGAGAATTTAATTTAGAATTTATAAGGAAGTAACCTGCACAAAATCGGCATAATAGCAGTAAATATCGAGAGGTTGAAGGTGCTGCAGCACAAATTCATGCATTGCATTTAATGTCTGAAACAGGCAGAAGCGCATTTGTAAAAAGTAAGAAATGATGCGCTTCTTATAGAATGAAAAGCTTGATATGGCAGATTTAAATTCAATGCAGTACAGCACAGATATTCCACGTTCTCAATTGAATCTTTTAGAAAGTAAAAAGCTAAGCCTTTTTCCTGATAAGTAAAAAGTACGCTCATTTTAGATAAAGAATGGTTGGTTGCATTGTAAGTAAAGTAACCTTATTGTGATCCTGTGTCCTTGCCCATTTGATTTGTTCAATGAGAGTGGAATCATTAAAATGGAAATAATGCAATCCTTCCTCGAGGTCGATGTAAAAGTGCTCGTAATAATCAGAGAACGACTTGAAAACAACGCTATCTCCAGCCAGCAGAAAAGGAAAGCGATATGCCGCAACTGTCCCATCGATGTTTAGTATAAATTTGTACTGAAATTTCACGTCATTTAAGTGACATCATGCGTAAATAACATGAATAAAACAGAGAACATAACTTTGAAGAAATCCGGCAGTGGTATTGTTTCAACCGTTGGCGTATGCTCAGCTTCGTC